GTTGGTAGCTTGCAAAAAAAAAAAAAAATACATGTATTTGCTTACAGTTTTGGAGGTCAGAAATTCGAAATCAGTTTTTCTGGGATACCTTCTTTGTACTCTGAATTCAAAAACAGAGATTATGTATTTTAACAGAATAAATGTCTACACTTTGTTCTAACTTTATCATGACCCTGGTTATTCTCTTTAAAATAAAATAAACAATAGAAGTTATGTAGTTTTTGAATGTTTATTTACTGTAGTGCCACTTAAATAATAGCTTTAATAATCCTATCTTAAGTGTTCAAATGTCCTGGTAATTTTATTATTGTTTTCCACAAATTGAATCCTAAATTAAAGATGAAATAAAATACTACAAAATACATTTTGCACTTAAACTCTGAGATCTCCCAGAAGGCCATGGACGTCACAAGGATTGTATCACATTATAAAAAGAGAGATAGTAGGATTATTAGATGTATTTAATATACTACTATTTATAAGTTGCTCAGAAAAAAATTATCAAAAAAGGTCATCAACCTTTTTTAGGTAAATTTGAATAACGAAAATATTATTAACATAACTATTTTAGAAATCGTATTGTGTATAGAAGGTCCTGGAGATTTCTCAGCCCCCTCACTGTCCATTATATGTTGTTATTTACCAGAGTCATGGTGGTACTTTCCCTGATGATATTAGGCAACAACACTACCATATTATCGATGATAACATCAGTATTTATTTATTTATTTATTTATTTAATCCTCACCCGAGGATATTTTTCCATTTATCTTCAGACAGAGTAGGGGGGGAGAGAAACATCAATGTGAGAGAGACACATCGACTGGTTGCCTCCCACACGACCCTGACCAGAGCCAGGGACGGAACCGCAACAGAGGTACATGCCCTTGACCGGAATTGAACCCGGGACTCTTTGGTCCGAGAGCCAACATTCTAACCACTGAGCAAAACTGGCCAGGCTGTCAGTTGTTATTTTTAAACGTTTGATTGCAATCTTACTATTTTCATTTGTACCTAACATCATCTAGGCCAGTACTTTCAAACTGAGGATGAATATCAACTTATCACTAGAGCATAGATGTTCAGGACCTACTTTAGACTTTTCTAAAATAGCTTTAATCATTATGCTCATAGATGTTTTGTCCAAAACTCATTTATTTGAATTGGCTTTATTATTAGTTTTTGCATACTACAGAACAAAAGTAATTTGATTTATATTTGTTATGCCCTTAAAAAAGAATTTTCACTTGTAAAAAGTATCAGCAATAAGTTAACCATAGTCATTGTAAGTGTCTGTCTCCTCCAGACTTTTGAACTCTGATACTTTCCACAAGGTCATGCAATCAGCTACAGGAGATCTTGTTTTCAACAAAGAAGGACTCTCTGAAAACCTCCAATAAAATTATAGGTACTTCAAAGAAGAGGCTAGTGAGCACAGGGTTTGGATATCATCACATAATCACCATTAAGACCATATCAGTAGACAGAGTCAGAATTTTGAGAACAAGTTGAGAAGCAGAAGTTTAATACCATGTGCAGTGGAACAAGACCTACATTTTCAAAGTACAAAGATTTATACTATAGAATCAATCCTTTTCTTTTAACCTATCAGGTTTTCCCAAATAAAACAGGAGTGAAAGTTCTTGAGAATGACTTGTGAAGAGTGCTTTCCTAGAAATCCAAGAGACCCTAAGATCTGTAATAAAGACTTTAGCTTCTTTTTCCCAGAAGAGAACATGAAACACTATCTCATGGTCCATTTTTCAGGATATAGTAGAAGGAACAGCCTCAACAACAGGAAGGAGAGCCCACTTTTCCTACCTGCTGTGAACTTGGGAGTGTTGATTACCATCTCTGAGCCTCAGGGCCTTAGTTGTAAAATGGAGACCCAGAAAATAATCTCTATCCTCTGTGTCCCACTTACCCACTTTCAGTAGAAAACGTTTCTTAGGAAAAAATCATAGAATGATAACTGTGTACCTTGAACAGACATTTGAAATAACTTAATTGTGCCTCCTCATTTTATAGCCACAGCAGCTGTCATGTCACCAAGTAAACTACACAATGAGAAACCAGAACCTAGCGAAACTCTACCTTCAGTTGCTAGGGAGAGACCTGTTGGCCAACTCAAATGAAGAGAAGAGTAAGAGTTGAACTCGGCTAAGGCAAGGAGGGCTTCAAGGCTCTCATAACAAATTACCAAGGAGCTAGAGCAGTTCCCCAGATGGTTAAGTCCTACCAGGACCAATATCATGACCTGAGGACCCATTATTCTACCAGAGAGGCAGAGAATGCTGGCAGAGGGGAAAAACTACTAAAGAGGCCTCTGTTGCCTGGGGAAGCTCCTTGAACGCCCCTGCCCTCACATGACTATCACTGTATTACTAAAATAAAGATTATGAAACCCGATCTTTTTATCTACGAGTGTTTCTATTTTGTTTGTAAGTTTATTTTGTTCATTAGATTGCACATATACATGAAATCATATGGCATTTGTCTTTCTCTGACTGGCTTATTTCACTTAGGTAATACTTACTCTCCAGGTCCATCAGGAAGGGGTAGGGGGCTGGATGAAAAAGGTGAAGGGATTAAGCAAAGAAAAACTAAAATAAAAAACCTCACAGACAGCAGTATGATTACTAGAGGGAAAGGGAGGTTGAAGAAGGTAGGAGACGGTAAAGGGGGGATAAATGGTGATGGAAGGAAACTTCACTTGGAGTTGTGAACACATGATACAATAAACAGATTATATATTATACAATGTTACACCTGAAACCTGTATAATTTCATTAACCAATGTCATTCCAATAAATTAAATAAAAGAATTTGAAACCTGAAAAAAATTGTGAACATCTTGACAATGATGTTTCTGTAAATATTTGGTTTAATAGGTATTGGTGTCAAGAAAGTTTTCTTGGCCTGACCAGTGTGGCTCAGTGGATTGAGCACTGTCCCATGGACTGAGAGGTCCCAGTTCGATTCCCGGTCAGGGCATATGCCCAGGTTGTAGGCTTGATCCTTGGTGGGGGCCGTGCAGGAGGCGGCCAATCGATGTTTCTCTTTCACATCGATGTTTCTACTCCCCCTCCTTTCTTCTAACATGTATTTTTTTTTTAAAGAAAAGCTTCTTGGATTTATACAAGCACATATTCCAACAAGCGCTAAGCACAACCCTGACACATTCTCAGGACACTCCTGTGAAGTAGGCAAAGGCTAAACCAGCTCCAGCAGCTTTCAGAGACAGTGGAAGGAGGCAGAGAGAGGCTGAGTCACCAGGCATAAGGGAGAAGAGAGGAAACCTAGGGTGAGGACTGTGTGGATCCCAGACTCTGCCTCTCCCTCTGTGTGGCACTCTTGGGTCTCTCCACAAAACCCAGCAGGCCATGGTTCTCACAGCCAGTGGCCCAAGCCTCCAGCAATCACTGAGAACCATGCTCAGTGGCCCTTTGGGAAGCACATCTAAGCACCTGGCCTACAGGGAGGGAGACATGGAGCTATTTAGAAGGGTGTACTCTGTGCCAGGCACTGTGTTACACACGTTGACTTAAACTTTTGGAAAACCCGAACATGGAGGAACTCTTTTTTTTTTTTTTTTTGTGGTACCTGCCCCTAGTGGGAACCGAACCTAGGACTCTCTGGTCCACAGGCCGATGCTCAACTGCTGAGCCAAACTGGCCAGGGCGGAGGAACTCTTATTATCCCCATTTTACATGCAAGGGAACTGCTGCTCAGAGGGAACAGATGAATGGCCAGGATCCAATGGCCAGAAAGTGGTGACGGGGGGAGGGGGGGGCAAGCCAAGCCAGGTACCCTGATCCCATTGTTGAAGCCGGCTAGGCAGCCTCTGACCTGCCCTCTGTGACAAGCTGGGAGGCAGCAGAGGGCGGTCCTCGAGCCTATGATGAACAAGAGAAAATGTCAAATGTAGACAGTCACAGGCAAGGGGAAAGAAAATGACAGAAGCCGGTAGAACACTTGATACAACCACTATTTTTAACTTAAAACAGCACATGACAGTATTTATAAGAATTCTATGTACTTCTGAGTTCATCACTTGGGACAGAACTTACACAGAGCACACTGAAACCTCTCTAAACATGGATTCAGGCACTGTTGCTCTATTAAATATATAACCATAGGCAAATTAGATGTTTCGTGTGCGAATGAGATTTATAATTGTGTTTACAATGGAGTACATTTATAACTAAATAAATTCATAAATAATAACCGTTAAGAATTGCTTGAATTGCCTTAGTCCAGAGAGTAGGTTTTGTGTCATTTACCAGTGTCCACAAGAGAGGACAGAAGGATATATTCTACAGAGAGCATCACAGCACTAGCTGATAATCCCTGTGTCAAGTACTTTTTGTAGTGAGGCAGGGTACAAAAAAATGAAATCACTCGACTGTAATTCCTTTTATGTATGTTCCTTTATGGTTTCCCCACCACTCCTCAGTCCTGTAAATCCATTACATTCACGCCAACTGCTAGGCCACCCTCTCCGCCACCCCTGTTGCCACCACCTCCTCCTTTTAGATTGTCCCAATCATGAACAAAGACCTTGGCACCTCAGTCATGGTCTTCAGCCCCACCCCAGTTACCACCATCGTTCTGGGAACCCCACCCCCCACCCCCGTCAACCTTCAGGCCCTGTTCACAGGCCTTGACTTGCTCAGCAGCCCCGAGGAAGGTTTCTCTCCCCCACAACCACCGCCCCCCACGCCCACCCGCGCCCCTGCCCGCACCCGCACCAGCACCTTACAAACAGATCCCTTACACCCGGCTTCTAGCATCCCACACGGACCGCTCCTTCCCCCTCGACTCTCCACGAGATCTCTCCTCCTGCACGTCTCACAGACACTTCCACTCACAATGACAGAAGCCGGGCAGTCAGGACAGCAGTGGGGTTCAGTGCTTTATTGTCCCTCAAGAACATCGCCTGGCTTGCTCAGCTCTCCGCTCGGGCTGCTCTGAGGACTCCGCAGGCTCTGGGACCGGCTTCAGCCCCTCCTGGATGCAGGCATCTTTTCGAACAGGGTGAAGACTGTCCCCCTGGGGCTGCGGCGCGGCTGTCCATCGCTGCTGGCTGCTCCCTCTGCACCCGGACGGGGGGTCTGCGCAAGGGCGTTGTTGACTTCGATGCCCACCATCTCCACTATGTAGTCGGTCAGGGTGTCCAGCATGACCTGGACCACATCGTCTCTACCTGCACTCGGCTGTTGGCTCTGTTGATCATTGTGTAGAAGACGGTCCACGTACGTCAGAGGAGAGTGTAACTCGGCTGTTAAAAGGTCGTCTGGAGTTTCCGAAGGGCGGTCACAGCTTTGATCTTGTGACATGATGGCTGGGTTGGTTCTGATCAGCCCTTCTTCACTCTCAAGCTGGACTGGGCCTCTGAGGACACCGGCGCTCAGTCTGCCTGTTATATCCCTGTGCTCTGGCCCCTCACTGTCAGGGAGCCCTTTGTGACATCCTAGACTTTGGGTTGTCAAGGGGACCATTGTGCCCTCATCAGGCCTCAGCCTGGAAATGTCCCTAACAGCCACCTGGTCACTCTAGTGACTGGCCCCTGATTTTGAGGGAACTGTCTCTTTCTGCTTGACTTGAACACTGTAGAAATAAATGTGTTTCAGTGGAAGCCTTTTCCCATCTTTAGGACGCAGCTCCACGTTATCTGGTTCTAACTTATATGGTCTTCAGGGTCCTTACAACCTTCTCTTAGTTGTAGGTTAGTGATAAACATGCAATATGTCTTGTCTAGTAGAGATTAAATTGTCCCCTCCCATGATGTAATGAAACCTGTTTTGCCTCCATTTATACATTCATTTAAATATGCTTGATTAATATTCCCATATTTAAATTTGTTTTTCTTTTGAACTTCACATTCCCTCTTTGAGTAAATAGAATCTTCTAGCACATGTTCACTTTATATTTGTATGAATGTCTTGATTTTACACAGTTTGAAAAATATATTTTAATCATTTTGGAAGTCACAATGAGAGTCTCAGTGGATTCATCTGTCAGAAACAGGTAGACATTGTTGAGAGACAGAAGTGTACCTTATGCTCATTTTAAGCCTGGGTGTGTCTTTACGTGGCTGTCCTAGGTGAAGCCAAAGCACCAAGAGATGTTAATACTTGTTTTCTATCATTTTCTTTTTCCTCTCCACTATTTTTTTTGTTTCTGCTTTTTTTTTGTTCATTTACAGCTGATAAAAGTTACAGTTATGTCCATTTCATAAGAGAGAATGTAGAAGGAAGGAAGAAATCTCTGATCCAAGCAATTTCAATGCCCAAGCAGGCAAACCTCCATAGCTTCAAGGCCTGGTAATAATTTTGGTGACTTGAGGCTCCTCCCTGTGATCCCATGACTTCACCTGGGTCCACAGCTCCACCCTCAACATTCTAGGTTCTGCCCTCAGAATCATCTTTCCTTTATTTTGAATTGAGCACATGTTTGCAGCTGACTAGTTTATCAGCTTATTTCCTGCTCATCAACATTTGAGAGTTCCACAATTTTCTGTCATTTCATCCTCCATCTATTCTTTCAGTTAAAGATGGTATTGTTTCTTTTGATTTAACATATGCAAAAATCTTGTCATCTCCCATGTAAGTCATGGGGATTCATGTCCTTAGACAAGAGGCTCATTCTCAGATCCCTCCTGGAAAATCCCATCTTTATTTATTTGTTGCTTCTGCTGAGATGGCTGGGGTTATCCATGTCACATCCCACATTGCTTCAGAGAGCCCTCTGAATACTTTGATGCTTCAGAGGTATTAGCAGATAGATGGCTAGCTACATCCTTGATTTTATCTCTGCAGGATACTTTCCTGACAGTGAATCCTCTCATTTTAATGTCTTTTGCAATCTGGATAGGCTGAGAATTTCTCATTATCTTCATGTACTGGTTCATTTTTGCTTAACGGTTCTTCCCTCAATTTATGTCTTTCCTCTAACATTTTGCTATTAATAGCAAGAGAAAAAAACAACAACAAGATTATGCCTTCAACACTTTCCTTGGGAATCTACTCAGCTACATTTTCATTGTTACAATTCAGCTAAGATTTCTGCCACTACTACTAAGAATCCCTTCTCCTCCTGTTTCCAATATTTTCCTTCTAAACCAGCAACACCTGGCATTCATATTTCTATCAATAGCCTTTTTTTATGATTTTGGTGTTCTGTAAGCCAATATAGGCCTTCTCAGCTGTGCTCCTCACTTCCTTTTGAGCTCTTACCAGCAGCACTTTAAATATCCATAGTTCTACTAACTTTTCAAGGTAACCTAGAATGTTTTATTATCATGCTCCTCAAAATTATTTATAGTCATTGTCTAATTCCAAAGCCACTTCCATGTTTTTGGATATCTTTTATGACAGCAACCTACTTTCTGGGACCAAAATCTGTTTTAGATTCCTATGGCTGCTATAATGCTTTGCTACAAATGTGGTGGTTTAAAACAACATGTGTTTAGTCTCGTACAGTGCTGGAGATAAGAAATCCAAATCAATTTCACTGGGCTGCAAACAAATTCCCAACAGGGTCCTGCTCCCTCTGGAGGTTCTAGAGGAGAATCGGTTCCCTGGCCTTTTCTAGCTCCCAGAGCAGCCTTCCTGGTCTGTGCCTGCCTCCAGCTTCACAGCCAGCAGGGTATCATCTTGTTTCACTGGTCAAATTTCCTTCTTCTGGGTCACATTTATCTCTGCCTGCCTTTATAAGGACATGTAAATTTGCACTTATGCTCTATCAGATAATACAGAATAATCTCCTGTCTCAAGATCCTTCACTTAGCCCTAGCTGGTTTTGCTCAGTGGTTAGAGCGTCGGCCTGCAATCAAGAAGATCCTTCACTTAACCTTATATGTAAATTTTCTTTTGACATATAAGGTAACATTAACAGCTTCAAAGGATTTGAATCTGCTTGTCTTTGGGAGCCATTACTCAGCTACTATAGGAGGTATCCTCAGGAAACTCTAGTTAGGTAAGTGAAGGATTTAAACAGGAAAGGGAAGAAAGCAAACAAAGCGTTCATTATTAATCAGTTTAATATCACTGAAGAACTTTAGAAAACACACTTGCCAGGGGAAGATAATGCCCCAGCATTCTGGACTATCATGTTTTAGGGCAGAGTAAGCTCTGATAGCCTGATAAAAGCCCTCACAAAAAGTAATTCAGGTTCTGACATTTAAAACACAGGCCAATATGCATGCAAATGGTACAGGCTCTGGGGATATGGGCAGGGCATTGACAGCATCTTATACACCAAAAAATTTCTATATACTTTCCTTATAGACTCTTTTCCTTTCTTCTTACCTTCTGCCTACTCTTCCTTCTTTCATTTAACACATGTTTATTGTACAGCTAGCCTGCTATCAAGCCCTGAGTTAGATGCTGGATATTCAATATTAAACAAAATAGACATTATCTCATCTTTATGGAGCATCCAGTGTAGTGGGAAAACCAGATATTAAACAAATACTAAAATAAAGATGTAATTCCAAACTGTCATGTATGGTATAAACCTGAGTTTATCAGCCTTAGCACCACTGACATTTTGGACTGGATAATTCTTGGTTGTTGGGCAGGAGAGCTGTCTGGTATAGGATTTTTAGCAATATCCTTGGCCTCTACTGCTAGATGATAAGGGCACCCTCCAGTTGTGATGCCAAAAAGTATCTCAAGACATTGTCAAATATCCCCTAGAGAGTAGACTTATACTCTACTGAGGAGCACATTACATTTAAAATATACATTGCAAATCAATTATTTTAAGGTACAACGAGGAGATGTAAATTAGATGAACTACCCTCTGAGGAAGAGATATTGAAACAGAGAACAGGCACAAGAATAGAAAATGAGGTGGAGAAGTATTAAGAGAAAGAACATTCTAGAAAGATGGCATGGGCAAATCTCTAAAGTGGTAAAGTACCTGGTGTGACTGAATGTGAGGGCAAGAAAGGGTGTGCGTGTGAAATGATGTTGTATCTGCCCATGAACAATGAAGAATCTGAACTTTTTCCTTTTTTTTAATTAATTAATTTTTTTTGTTACAGATGTTTCTCCTTTTCCCCCCACTGATTCCTCCCTCCCCCTCCCTCGCCACCTTGTGCCCAGCTTTGTTGTCCATGACCTTTGTTCATGCATACATGCATATAAGTTCTGTGGTTTATCTCTCTCCCACCACCCCCTCTTCTGGGGATTGTCAGTCTGTACCCCACTTCCACGTCTCTGGGACTACCCCATTCCTCAGACTGTTATGTTCATTATATTCCAAAAATAAGTGAGATCATATGATACTTGTCTTTCTCTGTTTGGCTTGTTTCACTTGGGATAATACTTTCCAGGTCCCTCCATGTAGTCTCAAAGGATAAGAGATCTTTCTTACAGCTGCATAGTATTCCATTGTGTATATGTACCACAGCTTTTTTATCCATTCGTCAACTGATGGACATTTGAGCTGTTTCCAGATCTTAGCTATTGTAAATAGTGCTGCTACGAACATGGGGGTACTATGGAATCTGAACTTTTTCAATAGACTTCTTGGCACTGGGATCCATATTCCAAATCTGGATGAATTTACATTTTTTTTTTAAATTAAGCAATGATGAAATAGAAAAAGGTTCTAAGAGAGCAAGGAAGTGCAAGATGAACACTTGTGATACTATGTGGTAGACTGTTTGCTGAAGTGTTCACAATTATTCCATTCTCTGAATCCACTCCATATATCCACAGCTTTTAAATTTTTAAAAAAATTCAACAAGCATTTATTCAAAGTCTACTATGTATTGTATTTTTCCATATTGTGTGGGGATATTTAAAAAAATAATTTTATTTTTCAACCACAGTTTACATTCAGTACCATTCTACCCCAGTTTCAGATGTATAGCAAAATGGCTAGAAAGCCATGCACTCTACAGTGTGATCCCCCCACTGCTTCAAGCACCCACCAGACCCTAAACCCCATTATCTCAACATTATAGACTATATTCCCCATGCTGTATACAGCATTTCTGTGACAATACTTCAATTACCAATTTTTAGTGCTTAATACATTTACCCTTTTCACCCAGCACCCCAATACCCCTCACCTCTGACAGCTTCCAGTCCATTCTCTGTATCTATGAGTCTGTTTCTATTTTGTTTGTTTTTTTGTTTAGTTTGTTCATTGCATTCTACTTATAAGTAAAATCATATGGTATTTGTATCTTTCTGACTGGCTTATTCCATTTAGCACAATACTCTCCAGGTCCATCTATGCTGTTGCAAAAGGTAAGATTTCCTTTTTTTACTTTTATTTTTTTTATGGCAAAGAAATATTCCATTGTGCATATATGTACCAC